TGTATATGTACATTTGTAACTGTAATACCTTAGAGTACTAATAAACAGTTAAGGCAAGACTGCCGAATTAAAAAAAAGTGAACCAGAACTCACATTTTGCCTTTACTGCTAATGGTTAATAATAACCAGTATGCTATATCTCAATAACATACAAGTAAACAGGATCAGGTATTCCAAATAAAAATATTTAGGACCCTTGAAAACCTTATAAAAACTAAAATTAAGATCTTATTTATATCCAATCTATATTATATTATATAAAAAAACTATTTTATATATTTATCTCAAAGCTGCACTCTAACTCTAAATTTTAATAGGGGTGGTTATTTTTAACCAGTAGCATAAGGAATAATAATCATTTTTATAAATTTATATATTATATAAAATTGCAAATATTTAATTAATATCTGTGTTTATACACTAGTGTAGGTTTAGAAATTTTCTAATATTTTATGTTAATAAAATTTTTTATTAATTATTTTGATATAATTACCAGATTGGGAAATAAATTTTTCTGATTATAAAAAGTTGTAATTATATAAAGGTCAAAATTTATATGTTTTATAATAGCTATGTCAAAAAAATAGTGTGATTATAACAAGGTTGTGACTATAATAAGTTCTAACTGTATTGGCTAATATATATTAAATTTTTTAAAATTACAACCTTTTAGTTTAGTATTACTTATCTAATGTAATATGTACTATATAACTAGTTGATAAGATTTTTAATTTTCATCTATTAATATATATTTTAATAACTTATTAATATAATGTCAAATAGGCTAAAGGTAGTTAATATTTGCCAAATTTTATTAAAACTACATTATATTACTATATACGTATCAGCATAATATTAATATTTTATTTGAATATTTATTTAAAATTTTATTACTTGTTAACAAATAAAATTAATCAAGTATTATAATTGTAAACTTGAATAACTTCATTTTATCACATACATTGAATTAAATGAATAAATATTTAGATTAAAAAATGTTCATTATATTTTTTTATAAAAATATCTTCAAGCGTGAAAAGCCTTTCATATAAATAAAATATTTGATTACAACTTATATAATATAAACCAAAATCTTTCAATATAGCTTAAATTATTTTGAATTTTTTTTGCAAATTTGAAATACCTCATAATCATCTATAGAAAACCAACCATCCATACTTCTAATTGGATTATGATATTTATCTTTTTTACAATTCCAATGTTTAAGAGATTTATCTTTTCCAACAAACCATGATTCAATATTTCGACAATGAAAATTACAACAATAAAACCAAGGACCATTTGTCTCAGGTGTATTTGTTGATGATGCATAGTTATTTATACGGCTAAGAATAGATTTCTTTGTGTTTCTATTTGGTAAAGAGAAAACAAAGCTATCAGATGCTTTAACAAAACAATTATTAGATTTCCAGACAAGAGGATTGTATCCACCAAGTATCTCATCCGTATTATCAACTTTTAAGATAATTACAGTATCAGGTATATTATCACATAATTTATGAAATGTATCAATTGCAAAACCATCTTTACTACCTCTAAGTAATAATTTAAATTCATATGGAATTTCAGAAACATCACAGATTGTTGAACGTTTATCAATCCAAGAAGAAATTTCGGCAACATGATGTAGATTAATTATAGAAGAATTAAACGATTGTTGAGGGAAAATTGAGTTGATATCTTTTTACGGGAAGGTAAAATTACAGAACTAACAGGCATATTCGGAGCCATAAATCTTGTCATAATATCATCCCATACACTTCCGAGAATGCTTTGATAAGGTTTAACTTTCTTTAAGATAACTTCACCGGGAATTTGAAAATATCTAATATGAGGAAGACAAATTTGTAAAGTAGTCTTTAAAGATTTAAAGTTATCAGCATTCCATTCTTCAATGTTTGATGGCAATCCAGGAGTTTGTGCTTTTCCCCATAGAATAAGTTTATTCCAAATCTCTGATTCTTCCATTTGTAAATCATCATGCTTTAATAGAATAATTAAATCACTCTCTTGAAGCATAGTAAAGTTTTCAGAATTAAAAATTACATTTGGATGCTCTGTAAGAATGTTATTACAAAACTGGTGTAAAACTTTAAGATTATTATCATGAAAGCTTAAATGATAAACGCGAAAAAAATTCAAGCGAAGCCAGGAAGGATTACTTTTAATGAGATAAGACTGAAGATATACAACTAATTCAGTGAGCTTAAATTCATTAGCTGTGATCAAGAGATCAAATACGTCTGAAGTATCAAACTTTTCTAAAGAAATTATACCACCATAAATATATCTATATAATAAATATATTAGAAATATAAATATTAATTTTTTATTTTATACATGTATAAAGATATTAGACAATTATTGTATCTTAAAATAACTTACTTGATAATAACATTAAATGTTTTAATAGAAACGTGAGTTAATTTAATTTCAATGAAATTATCTTTTTTAACTGCATCAGTTAATTTCTGTTGAAAGTATAATGAACGTTGATATAATATTGCTGAATGTGTTTTAAAAAGTTGGGTATCTGATTGTTCGCCAACTTCGATTATTACATTATAATCGTACTCGCTCTCAAGAAGACGAGTAAAATCTTGAGAAAGTCGAGAAAAAAAATTTTCAGCCATTTTTTGATAAAAGTATTATTTGTAAGAAAAAAAATCGATGACCTAGGCGTATATACTGTACGTACTTACATTGAAAAATTTATTTCTACTCAAAGTTTGAGAACACTGTACTACATAATAATACGTACACTTTGTTTTTTAACAAAATCAAAGTAGGTAGGTCATAATGATTTTGTGACTCCGAAATCAAACTTCATCAAACGAAAATACATAAAATGCATTAAAACATTAAAAGCAACTCATTTGCCAGAGTGAAGTGGAAGTCATTTCTTATCATGGGATTATAACCAATTACTTTACATCGCATAACAGATAATTTTTTGTAATCTGCAGGTATGACGTATACACTTACGGAGAGAATTTTCCGCAGAATTTTATATAAGGCCATGCAAAATTAATTAAATGGTTTTCATAACCCGGCCGGGTCAAAATTTGAAAATTTCAAAAAAAA